ATCACCGTACTGTGCTTGAAGTCTTCTGTAGATATCAGCGGGTTTTACGCAGTTTTGCACGCACTAACACCATTGTCTTCCATCTTGAATAATGGACTCTGGACTAGCCCGTGACATGTGCACCATCTATCAGTAAAAGGACACACTTGCCACTTACCTCTGCGTGTAGTACTGCCACCCTAGCATCCCTTATAGCTGTAAAATTAAAAGTCCTGGTTTGACTTGAGAATCGCTTGTATATGCAGCCTACATATGTACATACGCAGCTTACAGCTAGTGTGCATTCAGGTGTGCACACCTGTCCATACACACCTGCCAAACTCAGAAGAGCAGGTCAGTCCATATAGCCACTGTTTCTCCATTGACTAACATTGGCTGCTGCACTATGAAGTATGTATGAATGCTGTTCTGCCACAGTCTGCTGGGAGTAATTCTCTTTATATGTTATTACTTCTGCATAGACACTACATGGTACCACTCCTATTGCTGGAACTGGTTCTAGGATCTGTTCTTGTTTACTTGACCTGGGCAACTTCCTATGTCTTCTCAATATTTTTTTTACTCTGTGCATTTGGTATTCTCCCTTCTACTTTATAAATTTAGCCACACCCTTTAAACAATATAGCCACACCTAATTTTTTTTAGCAAAGCGTGAACTTCTCCCTGATCATCCTATAATCTGTTTTCCCAAGTTCAAGTCTCTACATGATAATGGGCATGGCATCCTCCTACGCCTGGTACACTAGCATTACTAATCAGAATTAGGATCTCCTATATGCTTCTGTAAATATGTGGCTGATGCAAGCAGAGAAATTATATTGGACACAATAGATACAAAGAGTGTCAGGCTGGAGCTGATGGCAGCCCAGACCATATTCAATCTTGCAGGCTCAGAAGCAGATACATATTTGCACCTGTGGGTCCTACAAAACAGGACAGATACCAAGACAAATGTATTGCAAATTTGTTAATCAGGGACAGAGAGCTGAACATGCCTTTCCCATGAGGGGCATTAAAGAAGAATAAAACTCTGAAAATTGTGCCCAAAAAAGCAGGCAAAGGGCAAAGAACAGGTCACCAGTATTGTCTGTGACCTCCCTGCAGCTGATCTTCCCTCATTATGTATTATGCAGTTACCATGCATTGTGTTTTTGTGGAGTGTGGCCACGTTGTATAGGCAGGGCTTCCTCATGTCAGAGCCCCCATCAAGAAGAACAGTGAGAAAATCTTATTCCAAATCTCCTGAACAGTCAGAGACAGTAGTGCCTTGGACATCACACTTCAGATATACAGTCATGGCCGAAATTGTTGGCACCCTTGATATTTTTCCTGAAAATCAAGTATTTCACACAAAAAAGGTATTGCATTAACACATGTTTTGCTATACACATGTTTATTCCCTTTGTATGTATTGGAACAAATATAAAACAGAGGCAGAAAAGCAAATATGACATAATGTCACACAAAACCCCAAAAATGGGCTGGACAAAAGTATTGGCACCCTTAACTTAATATTTGGTTGCACACCCTTTGGAAAACATAACTGAAATCAGTCGCTTCCTATAACCATCAATAAGCTTCTGACACCTCTCACCCGGAATTTTGGACCACTCTTCCTTTGCAAACAGCTCCAGGTCTCTCTTATTGGAAGGACACCTTTTCCCAACAGCAATTTTAAGATCTCTCCACAGGTGTTCAATGGGATTTAGATCTGGGCTCATTGCTGGCCACTTCAGAACTCTCCAGCGCTTCTTTGCCATCCATTTCTGAGTGCTTTTTGACGTATGTTTGGGGTCATTGTCCTGCTGGAAGACCCAGGATCTTGGACGCAAACCCAGCTTTCTGACACTGGGCCCTACAGTGCGACCCAAAATCCTTTGGTAATCCTCAGATTTCATGATGCCTTGCACACAGTCAAGGCACCCAGTGCCAGAGGCAGCAAAACAACCCCAAAACATCATTGAACCTCCACCATATTTTACCGTAGGTACTGTGTTTTGTTCTTTGTAGGCCTCATTCCGTTTTCGGTAAACAGTAGAATGATGTGCTTTACCGAAAAGCTCTATCTTGGTCTCATCTGTCCACAAGACGTTTTCCCAGAAGGCTTTTGGCTTACTCAAGTACATTTTGGCAAACTGTAGTCTTGCTTTTTTATGTCTCTGTGTCAGCAGTGGGGTCCTCCTGGGTCTCCTGCCATAGCGTTTCATTTCATTTAAATGTCGACGGATAGTTTGCGCTGACACTGATGCTCCCTGAGCCTGCAGGACAGCTTGAATGTCTTTGGAACATGTTTGGGGCTGCTTATCCACCATCCGGACTATTCTGCGTTGCAATCTTTCATCAATTTTCCTCATCCGTCCACGACCAGGGAGATTAGCTACAGTGCCATGGGTTGCAAACTTCTTGATAATGTTGCGCACTGTGGACAAAGGCAAATCTAGTTCTCTGGAGATGGACTTGTAACCTTGAGATTGTTGATATTTTGCCACAATTTTGGTTCTCAGGTCCTCAGACAGTTCTCGTCTCCTCTTTCTGTTGTCCATGCTTAGTGTGGCACAGACAGACACACAATGCAAAGGTTAAGTGAACGTCTCTCCTTTTTATCTGCTTTCAGGTGTGATTTCTATATTGCCCACACCTGTTACTTGCCCCAGGTGAGTTTACAGGAGCATCACATGCTTGTAACATTCTTATTTATCCGCAGTTGTGAAAGGGTGCCAATACTTTTGTCCAGCCCATTTTTGGAGGTTTGTGTGACATTATGTCGAATTTGCTTTCTTTCCTCCCTTTTTTTGTTTTGTCCCAATACACACAAAGGGAATAAACATGTGTATAGCAAAACATGTGTTAATGCAATACGTTTCGTGAGAAATACATGATTTCCTGGAGAAATATCAAGGGTGCCAACAATTTCGGCCATGACTGTATATCTATGAGACTGTTGGTACAGGAGTGTAGGCACCTTCACATACCAGGAAGTTCTCAGCTATTTTAAATTCATACAAGAGGTAAATCTTTTTGTACGTAGGCACATTAGATGTTCCCTATGACATAGAAAACCTTCACTTATTGAGTTCAAGTCCACTTCAAGGAAGAACTCTGCTAAGCAATATGTGTATCCAAACTGGTTATACATAAAACACAGTGAAAGACAGAAAAATAAAACAAAACCAAATATACAATTTCTAGATTCTGTATGCCTCTAATAAACATGACAAATATTTAAAAAATTCTTCTGACTACAGTCATTTCTTTTATTCAGTATGTCTTACCTGCACAAATCAGAACAAGAATTTTGTTTCTCTGTGCCGCAAAAGCACACACCCCATTATGATGTATACAAGACCTGTGCGGTCATGTAGCTTCGAGGAGTATGAGTAAATAAACAGTCACAATATATTTTAGGTTGTCAGATTCATTGCATGGATAGGAAAAGTTGTTAAATGAAATATCTTACTGTTAAATTAGACATTTTTAGGAAAAAAACATAGGATTTTCCAGTCTAGTAAATAAATAGCAGAACTGTGTTGGTGCAATTCAATAAGACATGGGGCAGAAGCTTAGTACTGGGAACATTTGTAAAGTTAGAAAATCGAAAATGAGGCCATACCAGGTTGGTAACTAATAAAACTCTTTTTCCTAAGCCACTCCTGAGGTTTGCTGATATTTTTTTAAGTTGCACGAATTAAGCCTATTCAGGTTCATTTGTTTTTAAAGGTATGTTTTATATCTGTTTATATAAATTCTTTACAAAGCAACATGTGTTTTTAACAGAGAGAGCTTAGCAGTAGATGTTTGTTCTCAGACTGTCTCTTGTCGTTTTGATTTCTGTACCAAAACCTACACAGCAAGAAAAGAGGAGAGAAAAGAGGAGGGGGGACATTGCGTCTCTTAATCATTTAGCTGTGTTTGCAATTAATGCTTCAGCTATAGAGATATGTAAGCAACAGGGTTTGTTCAACCAATTGATTAGGATCACCTTTACAAACTTTCACCTTTGCACACCTTTTCACCTCCTGTCTGTGAATTGTAAATAGTAAATACCTGTAAGAAATATACCATGTACCATTTTTGTAGTCATGAACGTTATAAATAAAGCACATGTATACAAAATAAATGTTTCTTTTAAAGCCTGACTTTTGGATAGGGCAGGCAAAAGTTAGCTGTTCAATTAGGTTTTTACAGCTATATATGTAGGGAAGATTGTTATTCATTTTCTGTGTGGTCACCAGGACCTCTGTATGGTCACTGAGACAGAAAAAAAGGTTGAATGGAAATGCATATTAAAACAGCTAATCACGTTTCAAATGAGTTTGGGTTTTTTTCATCAAAACATTTTGCCCAGCTATTCTTTTATAATGCACAAACCTAGACAGGATTTTGGTCAAAGTGATCACTCTACACGGCCTGATTGAGCTGCTTGCTTATTGGGCAGGGGTGATGATGCGGACAAACAGTCCAGTCATCAACCTGTTCTTATAGTTACCTGAGCCCGATCTCGATCCAGCGCTGTGCATGAGAGCGGAGGCTTTCTCGGCTCTCTCCCTCCTCATAGGCTCAGACCAGTGAGGATCACAACCAGTGAGAAAAGAGCAGGGAGTGGTGTCAAGTCATGCTCTGTGTGTCTATGAATACAAAAAGCTGGCGCGAGAGCGAGCCAACATGAGTGTCCCCAGCTTGCTATTATTAATATTCAAGATTTATATAGGCCAACAGTTTGCTCAGCGCTTTACAATATAAAGGAAGACAATACAGCAACGGTACAGTTCAATACAAGAGGGTTAGGAGGGCCCTGCTCCTTGGAGCTTACAATTTATGGTGGGCACTAGGTCCGGGGAAGTAGCTGAGCGCAAGTGGGGGACCCAAGAAGAGGAGGACTGGGGCAGAAAATATAATGCTATTTTAAAAAATGAGGGTTTACAATCACTTTAACTTCAGGAGTAGCAATTAACAAAATACTGAAATTACAGAATACTTGCAGTCATCAGTAATGCTCTTACCTGAATTCCTCTCAGTGAAGACACTCCCATATAGAGAAACACTCCATACAATACCGGCATTGGAATGAACTGTAAGACAATAACATAATATACAAGAACATCAAGGTTCATGCATTCCCTGAGCTAGAAAAAATGTTTTGGTTCAGGAACATGTATTAATGTAGCAGGAACAGCATTATAAATGTGCTACAATATGTATAGAAAGCCACAGCAACCACATAGATTTCAGTTTGCAGGTGGCAGGTCAGGGGAAGACTATTTGTGACTGATTGCTATGGGTTACAGCGCTATGCACTTCACTGCTCAATGAATCAGTGTCCTAAATTAGCCTTGTCTAGAGATAGAATTCTACATAATTACAGTAAAGTCACAGCAAATATCTACCTGACATTTCTTTTGATCAATCTACTTTTTTGTAAATTCTTTTGCAGATGAGACATGAATCACAAACCAAATTTCAAAATGAACAGGTAACATTTTAAGCCCAACTCCAGGAAAATAAATATCCCCCCTTGCGTTGGGGTGGCCCCAGCACTGTAAGAGTAAAATGCTTGTTTAGGTCTAGGGGACAGAATATTTACCTTAACTTACCTGATCCTCTGCTACCACAGTAGCTGGCCCTCCCCTTCGCTCTAGCAGTGGAATGTCCCTCAGTGTCCTCAAGTCCAATGCATGGCTATGGGCACTGCATTGGTTTTGATGACATCAGAGGATCTCCAACCACCAGGGCATAGGGAGAAAAGGCTGCATGGACCAGTCTTACAGTGCAAAGGAGCCTGCGGAAACAAAGCGTGGGGAAAGTATAACTGCTTTTTTAGTTCCCCTAGATATAAATGAGAATTTAACTCTTGCAGTTCAGGGGCAGCTCCACTGCAAGGGAACATATCTACTTTCAACAGAATTCAGCTTTAGGGTTACTGAACATATTACCACCTCTAGTACATTCCATATAAAAGGCAAAATAGTACCTGCTTCTGATATTCACTACATAGAGGTCCATTTACAAAGCTGTACTACATGTGTTATATGCTTTACTGTGCACTATTTTCATTGTTATAAGGCTCAATTCAATTCTTTCCATTCCAGGAATGCATGCAGAAAAGCACGCATTGTGCTTGCTGTGGCATTAATTCTTAATGGCACCCCAAATGTGGAAGCAAAAGAGCGTTTTGCCACATGCAAAAAAGTGTGACAAATGTGTGAAAACAAGTGGTAAAAACTTTGTGAACCAGAACGCAGCAAAATTTGCCGCATTTGTCATGTGTAGGGCAACCCATTGCAATCAATGGGCCGCCCTATGCATGTCGCACAAAAAAACAAGCAAAATAAACGCATTAAAAGCAAGTTTCAAATCTCTAGGTGTGAATGGGGCCTAAAAGAGAGTACTTCACCTTATCAATGCAAATACTCATGTAGAATAGTTTGTCATATTCTACAAGAAAATGCAAACTTTACAGTCAGCAGCAAGGAGTTAAATCCTTTCTCCTTCTGAAAACCAGCATGAAAATAAAAAAAAAAAAAACTGTGGGGAAAGGCAGTTAGGCTTGCCTTTCCCCTGGCCAACTTCTGACTGTGGCACCTAGGTAACATCATCCTCCTCCCAGTGGGATCCTGAGGTTTGTAGAGTATTCCAAATTTCACTGAGCAGCATGGCGCTGCAGTGGCTTTTTTCAAGATTTGAAATACTCATCATTCCATGGGACCCAGTCAGCAGGAGAATTACATCACCCAGAGGAGAAGTAAATATACTTTCCCCTATAGGTGTTTTTTTTTTTTAAGTTTATATTGTTTTTTCCCATAAGGGGACAGGGTCCATTTAAAAAGTGAGCTTCAACTCAGTGTTGTTGCATAGGGGAGTGGGGGTCTAAAAGGAAATCAGACCTTGCATTTTTATGAACATCTATCAATTGCAGTGAAATCCAAAACATAAATCATTAACTAAATTTCTAACACTTTTGACCAATCATTCTGATTTGAGGATGGTGTTTCTCACCTTTAGCACTGCTGTCATAAAGACAGAGCATCCCATAAGCACAAAGATCATCAGTCCTGTTACTCTCTGCTCCCTGATTCCAAGGAACTTGGGCTGCTCTCCTGGAGCTGAACACTCTGACTCCAGTTTAAGACTATTTACATGGGTGATAGACAGCACAGTAGCAGCAACAAACCATGGCAGCCCCATGACAGAGCAGATTCCCAGCATCAGCCCCACCATCAGCAGGTCTAGATGGTAACCACATCCTTTCTGTCAAAGAGAAAGAAATAAAAAAATAAGTATCTGTGGGTTAGAATATAAATATTTTTAAGACCCATGGGGGGTTGATTTACAAACTGGAGAGTGCAAAATCTGGTGCAGCTGTGTATGGTAGCCAATCAGTTTCTAACTTCAGCTTGTTCAATTAAGCTTTGACAAAAAAAAATGGAAGCTGATTGGCTACTATGCACAGCTGCATCAGATTTTGTACTCTCCAGTTTTAGTAAATCAACCCCCTTGCTTTCATATACAGTCAACTTTGTGGATGCAGGCCATAGAGGGGGAGAAAACCGGCAGGTTTTTTTTTTTAGAAAAACAAAAAATCGGTTGTTCAATCAGCCGACGTTACCACCATTGGTAAAAAAAAAGGCGGCTGATTTTCGTCCCGTCACGGCCGGCAATTAATATAATAGCAGTGCCCCTGCAGAGAGCTCTGCTATATTTGACATTTAAAAGAAGAAGAAATAGAATATGAATAATAATAAGAAAAAGTTGCAACATTGTATCTATATGTATCCATTTCGGATACAGATGTTTCTATGCGGATACAAATAGATACAATGTTGCAACACTTATACTTTTAAATGTCAAATATCACAGCGGAGCTCTCTGAAGGGACACCGCTAATAGATTTGACATTTCTAAGTATGGATACAAATAGATACAGATGTTCTTCTTCTTTTTCTTTGGTCAGGGCTCATGCGCATTTTTTTAATCGGGAAAAAGATCGTCCGATTTGCCCATCATTGCTGTGAAAATCGGCCGATGGGCAAAATCGGCAGTTTTTTTTTCCCAACATGAACGATTAAAAAAATGTGTCAAAATCAAGAAAACCGGCCAACCAATTCAGCAACTAACAATCCGAAAATCGGCCGATTATATTTTTGGATGAATTTTCGGCCGGTTTTCTCCCCGTCTATGGCCTGCATGAGGCTACTTTCACACTGATCCGTAGCAAAAATGCAGTAAAAATGCATATGCGGTGTGTTTTACACAGGACATGTAACTCAAAATCTGCGTTAAAAATGCAACGTGGGTGCATTGTTGATGCATTTTTTATGTGTTTTTGCCACATTTTCCAAGCATTTCAATGGGGAGGTATGGATTTTTTACCGCAACAAACCTGCACCAAAAATGCAGCAAATAGGATTTTACTAAACGCAGAGGACCCGCAATGAATCTGTGTGAAGAGTTCCATAGGATTACGTGGTCACACTTTTTCTTCCACTTCTTTTAACGCCAAACCCTTCTATGTTTTTTCTTTCATTTTTCTGTTTGTGGGCTAAACAGCAAATTTGCTAGGAAACTTACCATAATTCAGTTTAGAAAATGGAAACTGGAGAAGTTGAAACATAGAAAGAGAACATAGAAACATATAAGTCGTCATGCACACTGGACATTTTGATAACGCTGGTAATGTTAACTGTGTAAAGTCACATTAAAAAAGCTAGTTTTTCAGGTTTTTTTTAGCATTTTGGCATTAGCATTTAGCTGCGTTTTGCCGTGTTTAGTAGTGTTTTCCAGTGTTTTTGGTTTTTAGCGTTTTTTTACCAAAAAAGAAAAATGTTTATTTGGTCAAAAAAAGTCCAAAAATACCTGTTTGCAGCGTTTTACCGCATTTTTCATCATTAGAGCGTTTCTACAGCTCAAAAACTCTAGAACTCACTAGTCCTGTTTTTTTTTCCAGCCAAAAAACACATCCATACAAAAAAACGTTGATTACAGTCTACGTGTGCATGGACACATAGGATAACATGCTGGGGGGGTTACTAGCTGTAGAAAAAAAAACAAAAGCCAAAAACAGCCGCTGTAAAAATGTCAAGTGTGCATGAGGACTAAGAGTGACAGCAGAAAAGGACCAAGTGGTCCATTAAATGCACATTTAAACACATTTAATCCTTTCACTGTCAGGCTCTGTTCTCCACTTTTAATCTCAGGTGGCCAGACCATTTTTGCAATTTTCCATTTTTTTTTCATTTTTTTATTCACGGCATATAGAGTGTTTCCCTAAACATACATTTTCTGAAAGCACAGGACCAGTAGAATAAAAAAGATGGTGCTACTAGTTTTGTAAGTCACATTACACAAATGTTCATCAAAATTAGTGCTCACAAACACAACGTACAAAATTTATACTAAATCTAAAAATAAAACTGTATAGAGTTAATACATAAATATTTGTAAATTGTGCCTTTTTTGTGAAAAAGTGAAAATTCATGGCATGCAAAACATTAAATAAGCAACTTATGCTAAATAGGTTGGTTTTACACCTCAGTGTTGTGGTAACGCCCGCTCTTCAATGACACATGTGCATTGCATCAGTGTGCATTACAATAAAATAATTCAGGCATACATTATATTGCAACTACAATTCACTGCAACGTTTTCACAAAGAGTTTAATTGACGTAATTTCAAATAAGTTTTTGAAAAAGAAATAATATCAAGAACTGCAATGCAGTGTAACAATGCTCTGTAGGATTTGTGCAAAACACACGCAAAACAGTGGGCTATGCACACTGTAATTCATGCCCACTGATATGAATGGGCATCAACACACACATAACGTGCATCACCACCATGTTTGTAGTGCATATGGGTATGTTGCGTGTGTGTGTTTACTTTTGTGTGTGTGTGTGTGTGTGTGTGGGGGGGGCTTTAAAGTGTTACTAAACCTAGGACCCTGCATTCACTATATCTAGTACACAGAACATGGAAATGCAATTATTTTAGTAAATATAAACTGCTGAATACCTTTTCTCATCAGCAGTTAGAGCAGTCTTGTGACTTTTATCAGTGTCCAGCAGAGCACTGGTTAATTATTCTCCCTTGATTGTCAATGAGCCTGCAGAACCCCTGACTCTCAGTCTGAACAGTGCTGATTGGCCCTGTGCTGGTCACATGCACCCTCCCAAGCAAAAAAGAAAAAAAAAAATGTAGCAATGCACACCAAACTGGGCATATGTAGTTGTCCCCAAGGCTCTCTTCTATCAGCAGATGGATTGGGGACAGCAGAAAAAGGGGAGGATCAGAGAAGATAGGATCACAATATCTTTTTTATACAATGTGAAACATTAACAACTTAGGTTCCACAGTGAGTATAACAAGCATGCTTTACTGCATACACAGACTGATTTTACTGTTGTGGGTTTAGTAACACTTTAAGGACTCACAGGTAGCTATTTTCTAAAACTGGAGAGTGCAACATCTGGTGCAACTGTGCACAGAAACCAATCAGCGTCTAGGTTTTATTGCTAAAGCTTAATTGAACAAGCTGAAGTTAGAATCTGATTGGCTACCATGCACAACTGCACCAAATGCGGAGTGCACCAGTTTTAGTAAATCTCCCCATTCTGTCATATTAATATCTTTTTGTAAGAGAGGTCTCCAGAACTGGCAACAGAATTCTAAATGAGGTCTAGCTAAAGCTCTATATAGTATAAGCAGGACCTTCTTCTTCCTGATGATATTCCCTCTAGTGATGCATTCTAGAATGTAGTTTGGGAATAAATTTTTTGGAAAGCAAAACTGAAAATAACAGCATCCGTGGATTGAAGGCATCATCCGACCACTGTAACAGTGGGATTTATCGACTAAAGCTGGAGAGTGCAAAATCTGTCTCACTTCTGCATAGAAACCAATCAGCTTCTAATCTCAGCTTGTTCAATTAAGCTTTGGCAATAAAACCTGGAAACTGATTGGTTTCTATGCAGAAGTGAGCCTGATTTTGCACTCTCCACCTTTATTATTATTATACAGTATTTGTATAGCGCCAATAGTTTGCTCAGCGCTGTACATTACAATGGGAGACAATACATGAGACAGTACAATAACAATACAATGCGATACACGAGGGGTTCGAGGGCCCTGCTCCTTGGAGCTTACAATCTAAGAGGGAGGGGATAGTGGTACAGGAGGAAATGGCTGTGGGGGATGGAGTGGTAGGAAGAGTGGAGGAGATCAGCAATTAGCAGGGGGTGGGGTAGGCTTCCCTGAAGAGATGGGTTTTCAGGGTGCGCCTAAAGGAGAGGAGAGTAAGTGATAGTCTGATGGATTGGGGTAGGGAGTTCCAGAGGATGGGTGATGCCCTGGAGAAGTCCTGGAGGCGGACATGGGAGGAGGAGACCAGGGAACTAGAGAGAAGGAGGTCTTGTGAGAAGCGGAGAGTGTGTTTTTGGGTGGTATTTGGATATCAGGTCGGTTAAGTAGTTTGGGGCAGTATTATGAACAGCTTTGTACGTCAATGTCAGCATTTTGAATTTGATCCGTTGGGCAATCGGAAGCCAGTGGAGGGATTGGCAGAGGGGGGTGGCGTAAACGGAGCGGTTGGTAAGGTGGATGAGTCTGGCTGCCGTATTCAGGATAAACTGAAGCGGGGATTGCCTGTGGCGAGGCAGGCCAGTGAGGAGGGAGTTGCAGTAATCAAATCGTGATATGATGAGGGAGTGGATGAGTTGTTTAGTGGTTTCTGGGGTTAGGAATGGGCGTATTTTGGCGATGTTGCGGTGGTGGAGTCTGCATGAGTTTGTTAGCGATTGGACTTTGGGCTGGGAAGGGTAGATTGGAGTCAAGAATGACACCAAGTACTCTGGCTTGTGGGGTGGGCCTGATGGTGGCATTGTTGGGGGGTGCGCGGGCTGGGGGAAAACTAGGAGCTCGGTTTTGGAGAGGTTCAGTTTAAGGAAGTGGAGCAACATTCAATCTGATATGTGGTTCAGTAGGCTAGTGATTCAAACTTTAGTAAATAAACCCCAGTGTTCTGAGACTAAATAGAGCTAAACAGCCAAACAATTCCATTCAAGCCTTACATGCTGTTTTTCTATCTCTTTTTCATTTAAAAGAAACATGATAATAATGCTTGATTTGTAAAAAAAAAACCAAATCTGATAGATACGCAAGTGTGCAATTTGATACCAAAGAAAGAGGTGTCTGACATACGGCAATAAAAATAAAGTTCTTGCAAAAGTATACTAATGTTAAAGAGCACATCTAACTTAGTCACTATAAATGAACAGAAAGTTAGGGGATGTAGACAAACAAAATGATTTACCTAAAAAAATAAAACAATTGTCAATAACTCAGGAGAGAATTTGTGCGTTGTGCTTATTTTTAAGGAGAAACAGAGTACATGTAAAATAGTGCTAAATAGTAAATATGCTACTTTTGTACCATGTTTTTATACAGATGTTTTACCTTAAGTTTGTGCTCTTTTCTGTTGATAATAACAGCTGTAATCTGCTGGTCCATAAATATGAGAATGGTGCAAAGGAGGGCCGGGATGACTGTAGGGAAAACGGTCCACCAGGGATTCGGTCCAATTGGGTTCACAAACCATCCTCTGTCATCTCTGGTTGGCTTTAATTGAAGAAAAGCAAGTATTTATAACTTTGTAGAACTGCTGTTAAATGGTTTAAAAGCCACTCTTTCCACCTATGAATTACCTTAAATTCATTTGGAACTTGAAGTTTTGGCGAGGGCACGCCAATTAGATAGTCGATGATTACCATTGTCAAAATAGTGAGAAATACAGCAAAATCACTGATCATTGAGCGGACCTAGATAAAAAAACAATAAATTAATGAAACAATTCCACAAACACTGCTCTATCTGAAATAAAAGGTACGGTGGGGTTTATTTACTAAAGCTGGATCACACAGAATCTGGTGCAGATGTGCATGGTAGCCAATTAGCTTCTAACCTAAGCTTTATCAATAAAACCTGGAAGCTGATTGGTTTCTGTGCAGAAATGCATGAGATTCTGAGCAAACCAACTTTGGTAAAAAACCCTTGTACAAAATTAAGGCCTCATGCAAAATGGACATTTTTACTGCTCCTAAGGGCATCTGGTGTTTTTTTTTCCCTGCCTCTCAACTCCCCGGGACATTGGCCTACATGTCCATGCACACATAAACTTTTAAAGGCATTTAGTGGCAGAAAAAAAACCCTCTCCCAGTGCATCCCGTTTTTGGCAGAAAAAAAACATGACACATGTAAACGCGTCTATACATGCATTAACGCTAGGCACATTTAGCGCTTGAGTGTTAATTCATTTCAATGGCCAGAATAAAATATTTAGTCTGGCCAATTAGGAATAATTAATGTCCAAATACTTGATGCGGCTAAAAGCGCCTAAACGTATTAAACACTTTTTCAAGCATCAGGTGTTTTTTTCCAAAACTTTGCTGACTAGAGGAAGGCTTCTAGGAGAGTTAAAAAAAAAACATCCAGTGTGCAGAGACCTAAGGCTCAGATATCTGTCCCAGAGCTGCAGCTAATCGCTCTGTGTGTGGCTACGTGCAAACCGCAACGGCCGCTGTAAGCCCGACACTATTTTAAATGGGCTGAGTAGCTGATGCTGATTGCATAACCCAGTTATTCCTGCATCAAGAATCTGCAGATTCTTGAAGCAGGAATCCAGAGACCGCAACAAATTGGCCGTGTGAAAGGGGCCTAAGATTTTGATCAGACAGAGCACAAACAGAGCATGAAACATAGTTACTACATGGGTAAATTCACCTGTACTGAACAAATCATTTATTAATGTTCAGTGATTATTGTTATGGGCAAATTGCAGAAAAATGTATTGCTTAAAGATAAAATATATTTCAAAAGGAAAAGGCAAGGCAACAGTTTTACTAACAATACCAATAATAAAAGCCAAACATCCAAAGACAATAGAAAAATTCTATCCCAATCAAGGCTGCACTGTGAGACCCAAAACAATATTAACATAGCCTAAATCCCTGGCGTTACCATGAGTTCCAGACAGGCATTCAACTACCCAATGTCAAAGCATAAGCAGCAGTACAAATGCTGGTGATGTAACAGCTGCCAATAAGACTGTGACAACAAAACAAATGTGAAGGTCAGAGACTGTACTCCCAAGCCCACAGCTGCATCACAAAACCTAATTAGGTCATAATTCTAAATGAATCACCTTCAACAAGCAAAATATGAACTACTCTTAAAATACCTGGTGCTCAGTGAGCTGTCATTAGTGTTTAACAGATCTATCTTCTTGGGTACACACTTATCTGTTGGACAAAACTAATAATAGGGATATGTTGTCTATGGGTCATGCTGCAGGTGAAGGTGTGACATGGGACTATGCATTGCTTGATGAAAACAGATGTGTATGCATGTTAGAAATATTACAAAATTACTTTTTTGTATACTTTTCAATAAGGAATCACTTCCTAAAATGCAGCTAGTGTCATTTGTGTTATCGGTTATGTTTATTGTGACCATAACTGTCATAATCAGTCTATTACTGTGAATTTATTCTTTTGATAAAAATAGGTACAATGAACAATATAAACAGCATGTATTACAGTGGATATTCCTCTCAATTTGAATTAAGCAGCTTCATCAGTTAAAGTGTACCTAAAGGCAAAACTCTTTTGTATAGAGCAGAGAGGGGATTAGAACACCTGTCAGTTTTTATTGCTGTCTGTTCCCCCATTAGGTAGATCCACCCTTTCTATTTGTCCTGTTTACTGTTATCATCAAAAGTAAAAGTAAAAGTAAAAGAACAGCCCTCATTTTGGGTTGACATCAGAAATGTAATAGAGAGGAAACTAGTTCTGGTGAGATATCCTCTCACATCCTGTTTATGCAATACAACAGAAGGTGAAGGTAAATCTCCCCTATAGGACACTGATAACAATGAGAATCTTGAACCTTGGGCTTCACCAGAACAGGAGTAGAGGGTAAAAGGGGACACACATTTTGGTAACCTTGGTGACCAACTAGGGATTCCCTCACTTTGGGGCTATGGGACAGAGTTATAACCCTCCCTTACTCTATCCAAAATGCAAAAAAAAAAACTTTTGGCTTTACAATTTAGTTACACTTTAATGAATCATTAAAAAAAAAAAAATAAGTACACTGGAAAAAAAATGTAACATAAGAGATATTATCAAGAAATATTCATTTATTATCAAGAAATATTCATATCAAGGGATGATAAGATGACCTTTCCATTAAGAAACACCGCTCCCCTGCTAGGGAAAGGCCATCCAGAATGTGTCCCAAAAATTCAAAAATTACAAAGGCATTAAATGTACTTTTTCATCCATAATTGGTGTGCTAAACATTCCACTAGGAGCCATGACACTTGATGTTCCAGCTTAAAGGACAAGACAAATGAACTGCTTTTTTCAAGTTACTTGCCTTGGTTGGAAAGTACCGACTTGTTTTAAAAGTCTTCAGTGTACTAGATAAAGCGAATGTAGTAAAAAACAGAATGCAGGACCAAAAGAGAACATCTGGAGTATATGGCCCATGGTGTCCACAGGCTGGGCCTACAAATTCTCCATGCATCCGCTGGCATTCCTAAAAAATAAAAAAATAAAGATAGATCACTTCATTAAGGGTACTGATTGAAGCCATTTACTAGAAATGGAAATAAATCAGTCTACACAATCTGCTCAAACTAGAAAATATCTACCAAATACTAAAAAAACTACCAAATACTGAAAGGACCAGTGTTGCATATTCAGAATTTCCTAAATGTTATTACCCAAATCTTAAGAAGGAAGTGCATGTGCATGTGGAATGTTTATGTACATATAAATTCCTTGTTAAATATCTGACAGTATACATACTTATGTAGTACTAGATCTTGATGTGGAAATTATCCCAACAACTTGGTTTTTGGATATTTACAAGGCTATGGCCACACTTTGATCATTGACAGCTATCTCATTAGCATCATAAATTGTTAAAGTAGATAAAAACCCTGTGAAAAGTATACCTTATGGCGCCACTCCAAGCTATGGATGTAAGGAAAATGATGATCACACCACCGGCAAGTGAGAGGAGGGGCGCAAGAGTCCAAGCAATTACAAGTTAAGGGATGGACGCTGCTCAACCGACCCCAGGAGTCCAATGTTAAGGAATGGCCTCATTCGCCGTTCTGGCCATGCCCACTGATGTGTTTCACCCAACCCAAAGGAGCTTGGTCACAGAGGTAGATAAAAACCCTACCTAAGCCTAGCCAAACGTGTTTAGATTTCTATTGTTCAGCCCCAGGAGCTGAACAAGAGAGATCACTCAAGTCCAGCAACTGACAGCCACTAGACGCAGCGTGAGATATGTTCATCCATACTGTTTAGCATGAATGGACGACCTGTTACTTTTGTTCAGCCTACATGCTGAAATAAATACATCTGTGGGTGTATGCCCAGCTTTAAACAGGGACAGAAAGGTAAGGGACAGGAATTTTTTTGCTCAAGAAAGAAATTGGGCTTTACCAGTATTTCTTAGGAAACACTAGACTGACATTGTATATGTTAAGATAAAGAATACATAGCAAAATATTCAGATACAGACACTCAGTATAACCACCGATACTATGTACTTACACTAACGGTGAGGTTGGCCCAGTCATCTTCAGTAAAAGTTATGTTGTTTGTCCTCCAGAACAGCAAAGTCTTGTTGGATGGTACTTCAGGAGCTGCACATTTACAACTGCACAGAACAAAAAACGATGCATATCACAAATGCATAATGTTTGTTTCCATTCTCTTTGCATATGACTGGTTATTCTTGGAATATATAATATATTGAAGCTGTTAGCAGTTGGCTGCTGGGTTTGAGAACTGCATCATGCTCCTCCATACCTGGAAGCACTGGCTGCGATGGCGGAAAGAATCGTGGAGGAATGCTGCTAAAGTGTGTATAAATGGTTCAGGAGGTGGGAATTAAAGTGTTACTAAACCCAAGACCGTGCATTCACTATATCTGATCTCCCACAGTACACACAACATGGAAATGCAATTATTTTAGTAAATATAAACTTCTCAATACCTTTTCTCATCAGAATTGTATGGCAGTCTTGGGACTTCTATCAGTGTCTGGCTGAGCACTGGTTAATCTTGTAGGATAAATTATCATTCTCCTCTGACTGTCCTATGAGGCTGCATGCCCCCTGACCCTCTGTCTGGACAGTGCTGATTGGCCTTGTGCCGATCACATGGACCCTCCCCCCCAAAAAAACCTCTCTAGCAATACACAACAAACTGAGCATGTGCAGACTGTCTCCTAGGGCTCTGTACTATCAGCAGATGAATTGGGTACTGTGGAAGAAGGGGAGGATCAGAAAAGACAGGATCAAACAGCCTTTTTGCATAATGAGGATTAACCCCTTAGGTTCCGCACTGAGTATAACAATCATGATTTACTGAATATACAGACTAATTTTACTGTTGTGGGTTGATTAACACTTTAAAGAGTGATTTGCCTGAAATTGGGAATACGAAAACGTTAAAGTGTGTGTAAAGACAATTTTTAAAAGTTCTTGATAGGGTAGGAAAAGGTTAGACCCTTTGTCACAGAATACTATCAGTGTCCCCACTGTTTAGATACACTATTCTAATTGTCCAGGTGACCATATTCCATGCAACATGAAGTAAGTGGAAATTCCTAAATTTTTAGTTCTCTCCAGAGAAAGAGTTGAGGAAAGCGCTCCAATGAGGACACTCGTTCCTGTGATGAATTTATACAATTAAAATTACACCTCCAAGACAGGAAATAAAGGGAAATCTACCCTGAAAGACATAGGCAGCAAAAAAACAAAAAAAAACAAAAAGCATAGCCTTTGTCTATTAAACATGAGTTCTTTCTTTTCATAAACTTTAAAGCCTAACTCCTGGCTCAATAAAAACAGAAAAAAAAAAACCAAAATGAAGGTTAAAATTATGATGCTCACTTTTAAAGGGGATGATTTAACAGAGAGAATTACATAATCAATGGTCTGCCAGTTCTAGATGGGGCAACCAGCCCCCCAAAGTCTTGTTGCTGACCCTGATTGCTACTGGTCCTGCATTACAAATTGATGATGTAAGGATGCTGCCCACATTCTAGCACTGAAAGAAGGGGATTTCAGTGATAGCTGTTGCAGGACCATGGGTTAAGGTAAGTAATAGACTCTGTTTAGTCATGCCCTGGAAAAACAAGCATTGCATTCCTTATAAAACTAGAGGAGAGACACATTTAAAAGAGAAGTGTTTAAGGGTTTACAAAAAAAAAAGTGAGAAGGTTTTACAAAGAAAAGCAAACATACATACTCATTATTGTTGGGATCCCTGCAGAGCCTGGACTGGCTCTGTGACGTCAGCTGACAGTGGGCTAAAGCAGGGACACAGGAGTGGAGAACTAAGTGAAGTCCTGTGATCCCCAGAAGTATGGCCAAAAAAGCTTTGGCCATATTTCTCCTTTAATTATCTGAGTAATGGCCAAAGCTCAGCTTTAAAGTATTAGTGCATCCTCACAATAAAATCAACAAAGTCTACAAAGTACAAGAATACAACACAAGTGCAATTTTATGTAATGTATTGGAGTAGTAAAGGCCAAAATTAATGAAAAGATTTATTTCCCTTTAACATCATGATGTACACAAGCAAAAAGAATCCGTTTAAACTGCAAGTGTAACATCAGTTATGGCCCACACATGAGCAACCCATCGCATACTGTCAACAAGGTGAACCACCTACTAATATAGGGTTAGCTTGTCCAGCTGGCTGTGCATGTGAACAGGATATGTTTCTCCCAAATGAATCAGCTTTTCTATGGCTTCATAAATAAAAATGATGCAGATCAGTGAGGCAAAGGCTTCCTCTGTGAAACGTGTGATGTAGCAGACCAATGCGCTGGCATCTGTGGCAACCAGAACGATGCAGAGAAAAGATGTCCACAGACCGATACAAGCTCTCAAAGAGAGATATGACAGCTCATGGTCTCTGCAGTAAACAAAAAAGACAAACATTTAAAATGTAATACCATCTCTAACATGGAAAATAATAATAACTTCAAGATCACAAAGAATTAGTGACAGGCGGTTACCGTACACGAGTAACTGGTGAGCATTCACGCCTATTAAGATTGTCCTGTGATTGGTGAAATGTAAGCACAAAAGTGCAACACCAGTTTCCAATCAGTGTGCTTGTAGTGTATGTGGGCACTGCCAAACACATGTCAAATGAGGCAAATATAACAAGTTCTACACAGGTATCAACATGCTTTCAGGAAATTCTTTCTGTATACAGATCTGCTGCTGGATTACTACAAGTGTCTAATGTACCTGAACTGAAAATCAAATCTGAAACATCCTCTAATGTTAAACAGATGAAAGATGATTTCTTAAAACCCACCTCCAGGGAAAAGAAAAATGCTCCCTGCAGTAGGGTTGCCCCCCATGCTGCAAGGGTTAAATGCTTGTTTAGGTCTACTTAGTATTTACTTACCTGATCCTCCGCTCTCCAGCAGCTTGCACTCAACTCTTCTCCTTTACACTCCAACAGCATACTAATTCTTGGCATTCTCCTAGATTGTAAGCTCGAAAGAGCAGGGCCCTCAATCCCCTCATGTTTTGCATTGTATTGTTATTGTTCTGTCACACGTTCTGTCCCCCTTTGTAATGTACAGCGCTGAATGAACCATTGGTGCTTTATAAATACTGTATAATAATAATAATAATTAATGTCCAATGCAGGGCTACGGGCTCTGTAAGGACTTGTGACCACTAGAGTGTAGAGAAGAACAGGCTGTAGGGACCAGTCTAGCAGCATAGAGGGAGCCTGCTGGAGCGTAGGATCAGATAAATAGAACTGCATTTTACGGCATCCTAGACCTCACTATCATTTAACCCTTGCAATGCAGGGGCAGTCCCACTGCATGCGAGGATTTTTTTTCCTCCGGAGTTCAGCTTTAAAGTGGACCTCATATGTTTTAACCACTTCCAGTCCAGACACTTTTACCCCCTTCCTATCCAGACAATTTTCAGCTTTCAGTGCTATCACACTTTGCGCGGTCATGCAACACTACCCATATGAATTTTTTAGCATTTTTTTGAGACAGATAAAGCTTTATTTTGGTGGTATTTATTCACCGCTGGGATTTTTATTTTTTTTTGCTATGTAATTGAAAAAGTCCAAAAATTTTAAAAAAAGTGTTTTTCTTATAAAATTTTGCAAATAAATAATATTTCATCATAAATCTTGGCCAAAATTTATTCCGTTATCTTTTTAGTAAAAAAAAAAAAAAAAAAAGCAACCAAAATTAGTTTATAACCAAAAATTATAATTTTTAAACATTTTTTTCTATTTTTATTTTTTTTATATTATTATGTTTTTTGTTTACATACTGTCACCCTAGCAGTACAGTGTCACCATGACACTGTACTACTTGTGGGGGTGATGAAGATTTTTTTTTTTTTTACACTGATTGCTTTTACACCCATAAAGGCTGTAAACGCAATAATTTCTCCTTCTCTCTAGCTGCATTCTTGCAGCCATTGAGAACTACTGTGTGAGCTGTGATTGGTCACCGCTTATCACATGGTACAAGGCTGTTGTGAATAGCCTTGTACCATGTGAACTCTGTGATCATTCACAGATTTCACACGTAGTAAGCAATGATGTCAGAAGTGACATCTTGCTTACTACTCTGCATGTGATCACTGATTGGCCAATCAGTGATCACATGATCGACACAAACAAAAGATACCTATGCTCAAATTCCAGATTGGGATTTGAGCACAGGTATCTCTTGTTTGTTGTATTGTTGGGTCAGTAGCCAGACCTGAACCTTGTAGCTCTCCCCATTGTGTCTTTTCTCCTATGCTAGCATTGTGTCCAAAGTAGCATTTGCGTAGGCAGAGCAGAGTAGGACTGGCCATAGAGGGATTACTTTGACGCAGTTGGCCAGCTTAAGCATGTATTGCAATATGTGTGAACTAAATATCCCCATTTATTGCATAGTCTGCTTGATAGGGTATATACCAGTGTGCAGAGGGTTCTTCAGAATTTCACTCGCACAGAGGTCCCGTCCGACGATCAGTGTTTCCACTGGGTCTAGAGGACACAGCGGGTACCCAATCGCGGTGCTGCGCACTCCCAGGGAGCGAACACAAGCAGGGGGCGGGGAGGCCGTTTATAAATGGCCACCCGACCCTGCACTGCCACCGTCCGGCCATTTATATACAACGGCCGGATGGGAGGTGGTTAATATAAAGTGCAATCATGCCAAGTACCGTGTAAGTGTATTTAGTGATCTTAATATTCTCTGTAAATACCTTCATCTTCCTTTTTTTAAAGAAGGCCATTTCCATCTTGGTTAGGTATCATTGAGGGTTAGCATCAACTTCTTTACTAAGATGATGGCCCAGAGATAATACAATCCACACAAGGCACAATGGTTGTATTATCTATGTATCTGCTGTGCGGTTTTACTTTTTGTTCTGTACTAAAAATGAATGTCTGCAATGAAATTATAGAAGCCTAATAAAACAGCACAAAGCCTGGAGCCGAATCAGATGAATCAATTGACTGATATAAAGGAAATTGACTGACCTAACTAAGGAGCAAGACTTGGCAGCTAAATTTGACAAGAGAGCCAAATATAAAAATACATTGAATTCAATGAGCCTGTTCACATATGTGTGTTACGTTGCAGTTTGTTGGTAAACATGGTGCATGTTTGATTTTACTGAACCCAGCCTTAAAGATCTGAATGTTAGGGATTGTTTTCATTTGGTAAAAACATTCAGTTGAGCCACGATTTTACTTCCCTCTGTCGCTAACCCTTAAGCTGCAAACAGTGAATGGGGGTGTGCACATGCTGCTGCCACGACTCTTTCTTTTGCAACTGCAGCAAAAACTAAACCCCCTGTTGCATTTGGCAGGCACTACCGACCTACAACCGCATGCAAAGCAAATATCACAAATACACTTGTATGTTACCCCCTACATTGTTCAAGCTTCCAAATCCCAAGGACTCTTTCGGTACTGCAAACAGGAAAAAAACATGTCTTCCATGCCTACACTTTAATGGTCTATTCACACCAGCTGCTGCATCGCAACGCAGCAGCTGGTGTGCAGTGCGATCCAACTAGATAACCGCAGTGCCGATGTGCTGATCACAGCGCATCACACTGTTCACTTTTTTTTTTTTTTTTTTTTTTTTTCTAAACAAACTAGGAACATAGGAGACAAGACATTTTGGCTTGTCTTGTGGTGAGACTGCATTGGAATAGCCACCCAACGCAGTCCCAGTGTACCTGGTGTGAACAGGCCCTGAGACAGGATTAGTAAATACTTAGGATTCTTTATTCAATTAATGAGTGATGGCCACTTCAACTATCCACTCATGTGAAAAGCAAATTCCTGTTTATTTCATAAACACACAACTGGGTATTCAAAGTGAAAACAACCATAACTTTTTGGGTGAAGAGTCTCAACTCATTTAGTAAATCAACTCACTTGACAGCACAAACTTTACCGGACATGGCTCCGGTGTTTTTTTCTAGTGAGATCACGAAGCCCCACACTCCTAACTTTGTGCATGCACTGAATACTACAATGTAAAAGTTATGACACCTTACTTTTCACCTAGAACTACCACAGTAAGTACAAAATGATGAAAATGTGGACTAATGAAGAACTAGAGGAGTATGTAAGCACTGTCCAGGCTCTGTGTAGAAATCGGAAAGCTAACAGTGTAAGAAGAACACAGAGAAACCAGCAACACTGAAAAAAATGAATGACATACCCTAAAGACAGGAAGTACATTATGAATAAAACATATCATTAAGCATTGCTTGGAGCATAAATTAAACATGGTCAAAATATTTAAGGAAAATGCTGCATCATTGCTGATGGATGCCTATAAAAGATACCAACAATAGCAATGATCCTTTAAAATGATGTGCCATTTTGCTTTATAAAGGGAGGAGAATAGGTTAATGTAGTCACTTAGTAGGTTGGCTGAAATATCAAGGCCTCTCTTGCCAAAAGTTTCCAGTGAAACTAGTAATGTAAAAACAAGGTTACAGGTGGATGTGATGTGAATGTGAAAGTAAAAATTATGAATAAATGTGAAAATTATTATTGTGAAAATAATATTCAATATAAACTATAAAAAATTGTAGAAAAGATGCCAGAACATAAGCGTTGAGTTCAAAACCTCCAATCTGCAACAGAATTAAGTCCAATCCACAGTCGCTTTTAGTGCTTCCAACAATATTAAGTGCCTTCTTTATATAGTGACCGAAACCAACAACAGATCATACGCGGTGCTGCTAATGATAACCGCACGTGCCATCTCTGTGCTCTTAGAACTCTCACCTCCACATGGATGTAACCCAGCCTGTAGATATTAATTCCCCATGTTTTCTCTGGTAGATGGATCATCGAACACCTCCTGTCCAATAGGATCACTCAGTAATATTTCCCAGTGCTCCAATATAATATGGAGTAAGGTGCCCTTAAGACTCACAATCATATTCAAGTGGCCATGTCCGTAAAGAAAGAAGTTATAGAAAGGGTTCCCATAGTGTAGTATTAAAATAATAACACCTCTTAAAAAAATAGAATTGCATGCACACTTTAAAATCTTTAAAAGCAGCCTTAAAACATAACAGAGTACCGGGAATTGCTTCCATGTTGTGTCACTTCTGGTACGAGTCTATCTCTGCTCACGTCCTAAGTGTTACGTCATGGTCACTTGACTTCATCAGCGGGTGAAGTCACGTGACCGTGATGTAGCCTTTTTTTAATAAAAGGTGTTATTATTTTAATACTACTCTATGGGAGCCCTTTCTATACCTTTTTTCTTTACAGGCATGGATTGGAATTCTGTCGCACATTGGAATGTTGTGAATTCAATGTTTATTTGACTTTTTTTATTTTAAAGCAGTGCAGCATTTCACATATACATTTATTATTAATGCCATTACATGGTGTAGCATTTTTTCTTTTGATCATTGTTTTTAGTGGCTAGCTTAAAGCGAACTTGTGCACTATATGCAGGGTCTAGTCCCCAAGTTGTTTGAGCTTACATTTCCTTTAATCTCCTGCGTCTCCATTTGGCTACAGAAGCAAAGAGAAATACCCAGTACTTATAGGACTGGGGAATATGACTCACTCCACTGCACTTATACCTACAAAGTAGCACTGGGTGCCTCAACAAAAAATCTCTAGGCACCAAGGTTACAACTGTGGGCAAGAAGAGAGGCATCAACCCATTGTGACCAGCCTGCCCATACATGGATCGCAATTTGTTCAGTTCCTGCTGAACCGCCCAAAATTCGATCTGTCTACATCTGAAACGCATGTAGTGTGAACTAGTCCTGAAGGAATAGTTTACTTTTTCTTTGCTTATCATTTTAGATATTAGTGTGCACCCAATATGGAATTACACTCAGTGATGTCAAAGGGAACCTCGGCTGAGTAAATGTAATTATAATCAACCTATATAAACCAAAGACACCGTAAAGCTATTTTTTTCATAAAATAATATACTGTAAATAATAATAAAAAAAAATTCCTGTTTGAATATTCTGTTTCTGATCCAGCGGTAGGCTGGGAATATTTTAGAAGTATTGTAATTATTTTCAGCTTAAAAACTTTTTTTTTGAATCTAATAATTACTTAAAGGATAAGTTCACCTTTGGGGACATGTTACATGTCCCACCTCTTTTTTTTAGCTGCCTGTGCCCCCCCTCCCTCTGACAGATAGTACGGGGATAAGTCTCCCCCCGTACTATCTGTCGAATTTGAAAACAGCGGGGCCATGCGAGGCTCAGCCCACACAGCTGAGTCACTCGTTCACAGACTTCCGCGAATGAATGAACTGCAAGTCACGACAGCCTTAGTGGCTGTCGGCTTGTAGTTTCCAGTGAACTACCATGGCGCTGTGGAGCACCGTGGTAGTTCATTGAAGCTTCCTGTCAGAATATCTGCTTGCTCATACATTTCATACGGCAAGAAGATATTCTGACAGGTCTGCAGGAGACCTGCATGGCATCAGCGATCTACTGCTGCAATGCTTTCCAGGCTCCTGTTGACAAAAATAATAAATGCACATTTTTTTACCTGCATTTATTATTTTTGTCTAAAAGGTGAACTTATCCTTTAAGGTAATAAAATAAAAAATACATCCACCATTCTCCAATATATGTTTATATAGGTCTGGATAGCCCTCTTGAACACAAAGTGATAATCTTGAAAATGAAGCCTAAATTATATTGCTGTGATATTTTACTGTAGTCTCAGGTAGTCATATTGATTTCTTATTTTAAATTGTTGTCATGTGCATATACAGTATGTGACATGTGACAGTAAAAGCAATTGCTGGCCTAGTAGGTGTAGATTTGCTGTGGGGAATTACTAATGAGAAAGGTGTTTTTTTTTTACTTGCAGAACTTGAAGAGAATCTTCTCAAACACCAGCACTGGTCCTGTACTGCCCAGGATAGTCAGCGGTTGTCCAGCAAACAGCGAGTAAGCAATTCCTGTCATAGAAGCACCAAACAGGGATTCTATTGCACTCTGTAGGGGCACAAATATGAGATTAGTATGCACAACACACTACACAAAACAACACATAGCTTATTTCCAGATGACATGCAATTGTAAACAAGGAAGACCTGATTTAACGTGTCCATGGAGTTATAACACTAAATTAATAAAATGTTGTTTACATAACATGATTTGCCCCCCCAACCACTTTAAAATGATTGAATAGCAGTTTGCAAGCTTCAGCAGAATAATTAGGTATATTTGCTTTTGCATGTAATCAAATACTTTGCATCAAAGCCTGCTCAACGCCAGTGGAAAAAGCTGAGCTTTAAACCCATTAATTGGCCATTAGCTAAGAGACAGCAGACACACTCCGTGCTTAAATAAAGCCAGAGATAGGGATTATCCTGATTAGAAATAAAAAGATGGCAATTAAAACAGCCAAATTAATGAAGCAAGATTTGCTAGCCAGTCTTGTGATTTCAAAAGGAGAGTGAGGCAGGAAGTGAGGGTGGTTCTAGTCGGTGTTAGGCACAGGTAAGTTTCTTACTATTCGACCTTCTGTAGCTTCTCCAAGCAAACCCCCAAATGTGATGACCGGAGACATGCAAGCACAGTACAGGAAGAGGAAAGAAGCCACACACTGCAAGCTCAGAGCATCCCTGTAGTCACTCCAGTACCAAGGAGCTTTCCGCTTGATGTCTACCACCAGACCACCAAATAGCCTGCAATGAATAATACAGAATGCCATTGACTGCCAGGATTAGAAGCAATACCAGTTTCTATTTTCTAACAAATGACTGTCTCCTGGGCAATGTATCTGACTAATGCTTGATCAGTGGTAAAATATTCATTGGATTTCTTACTACATTTTGTAGGCATTGGGCTGCAAATTTACTAAATGCATGACTTAGGGTTACTTTTTCAGCAGCTGGATGCTAGAATGCCCCCCCAAAAAGTTCTCATTGCAAAAAAGTGGGAACCCCTAAAGGAAGTCTGCAGCTGTCCTAGTCTGGTCCCCTCACAGGTCACAGCACATTTCTGAAAGGCTAACCTTCAGCTTTGCCTTTACTTTGGTCATATCATATCTACTGTATACTGTTTATGACTCACTAACTCTGGAGGCTTACTTGTGAAAAATAACACAAAGAAACCTGAAATAAAAATAGAGATAGTGCTCAAAGCACCAGATCATATTAAGTTAAGACAATGACATCTGCTTGACTGCTATGAGCAAAAGATACATTTTTAACAAAATTAACTACCTTAAAATGATACTATGATCTAGGGATGCACCAATACCCTTTTTTGATCGGCGAGTACAAGTACCAATACTTTGCGGTGTGATTTGCATCAGTACAAAACGTATGGGTGCAAAACTCACTGCAAAGAATAGCATGCAATTTGAACAGCAATGTGATTCCTGTGCAAATCGCATGCGGTTTTCCCACTGCTCCTGAGTTCACACAAGAGTAGTGCAGGAAACCTCCCTGAACGGATCCCATGTTGTCACAGGAAGAAAAGCTGGCTAGGGGATTTGAAATGCCTGTGACTTTCTATTCTGTCAGTGCAGGGATGACTGTATGGGCTAGACGGCTTTTGATTGGTCAGCACCTGCAAGGAGAGGAGAGAAAGCTGCTTCACAGGTCTGGGGATTTGAAATTCCCGTGGATTTCTCTCCTCTTCTTGCAGGTATGACAGTATGGGCTATATGGCTTCTGATTGGGCAGCAATGTGACGGTGCTGACCAATCAAAAGCTGTCTAGCCCATATTGTCATCCCTGCACTGAGAGGAGAGAAAGCCGTGGGGATTTCAAGCAGCATGGGTTTGGTACAGGGAGGTTTCCCACACCGCTTCTGTGTAAACCTAGACTAGGTGCACACAGAAGCAGTGGGGAAAACGCATGTGATTTGGACAGGAATCGCATTCCTGTTCAAATCACATGCTATTCTTATTTCTAATTTGCGGCCATACATTTTGTATTGACGCAAATCGCATCACAAAGTATCGGTTTTAGGTACTGGGAGCATTTTCAAGAGTACAAGTACTTGTGAAAATACTCGATATTGGCACCAATACCAGTAACGATGCATCCCTTCTATGATAGGTTCCCCGCTCTCCAATATTAAAGGATAAGTTCACCTTTTAGAAAAAAAAAATAAAATAAATGCAGGTTAAAAAAATGTGCATTTATTATTTTTGTCTGCAGAAGCCTGTAAACCATTGCACCAGCAGTCAGCAGATCTCTGATGCCATGCAGGTCTCCTTCAGATCTTTCAGTATATCTACTTGCTTGTAAGGGATGTACAAGCAAGCAGATATACTGACAAGAAGAATGAATGAACTACCACGACGTTTCACAGCGCTATTGTAGTTTATTGAGGACTACAAGCTGACAGCTGCTAAAGCTGTCAGGACTTGTAGTCTCTCATTCACAGATGACTGTGAATGAGTGACACGGCCATGTGGCTGGACCTGCACGGCCCTGTTTTTTTTAAATTTGACAGCTAGCGAGGGGGGAGAAGATCCCCCCGCTAGCTGTCAAAGTGGGGATCGGCGGGAAACAGGGGCCGGTCTGATCGTAACATGTTACTTGTTACACCCTGAATATGGGTGTAACATGTAACATGTTATGAAAGGTGAACTTTAAGCTTTTTCTGCAAAAATGTAGTAGACTAGTAGGAGTGAGTGATATGATCCATAAAGGGAAACAAAGTATTATGATTGATTATTAATATCTGACATAGAGGGTCATATTGTAGGCAGACTTGTTCTGGGACTTTATTCTTTCCAGTCTGAAGCTAGTGTCTGTCACTCTAATACTGATTTATTCCAACATCCACTAACCTCCCTGTGCGCTGCAGCTCTGGTCCACTGTGTTCTGGCTCTGGTTCAGGATCTACATGACAAACATTTCCATTGGGGACTCCAGGCATCTTCCTTTTCTCCTGCAACATCAGAATTCACATATATTTCAGTATATGAATTGGGAATATATTATTCCTAGTAGAAAATACAGTACGTTAAATAGGTGACACAAAAAGAGGAATTTAACTATTTTCAAATGTTCATACACTGTAGTATATAAATACTTTATATAAATTTTACATTGAGGCAAACCATTTACCACTGACAGGGGTGCTTACAATGATCTGCGTTTATTTATTTATGTAAACCATTATCTCAAAAGAAAACAAAATTGCTGTAACTGCTCATAATGTGTGAGCTGAAGTTTGACTTCAGTTTGTCAATGTATCTAAATCTGCTAGTACAACTAACACTCCTGCCCCCCAGACTGACAATGCTGCTGTCCAACGGTGTTTCTATGCTCCTGTGTGTAGCAGTCTAATACAAGAGGTATGTTACTGGCAAGATCCCCAGGTAACAACTAATGATTGATAAGCTGCAATATATTACATTTTTGGGTTTGGATTTCATACTATTTAAACCTTTAGGATATACTGCCACCTGCAGGATTATTGGATACTGGTGGCAAACAAAAAACTGTAGGCTTGCCCAGGGTATATACCTCAGTTTTATAGCAAATCAGTACCAAACACACAGATGTGGGAACTGTGCCCTTCAATGGATTTTACAGGATTTTACAGTGAGTACAAAAATCTTTTTCTCTTTCTTGTCCATTGAGGGACACAGGAAGTCTTAAACCTTCAGGATGTGCAAAATAAGTCCAACTGCCTAGTGGGCAACCCAGCAAAACAACTGCTAATTGCTAAGTGCTATGTAAACAACAAGTACTGGGGAATGCCTGCAGCTCATAAAGTGGCTTGAAGGACCTCAAGCCAGGAACTGTTATCAGATTAGGCAGAAATGACCATCTGATAGAACATAGAATGCGTGTGAGCAGAAAATTAGGTAGCAGCCTTGCCCTATTGGAGTGAGCCTTTACTGGAAAGGTTGAAACCCAATCCTTTAGAGTAGCCTTTTTTCAACCAGGGTGCCAGGCACCCTAGGGTGTCTTCAGGCTATTTCAGGTGTGCCTTGGCAAAATGCTTACAAAATGCCCAAAAATTGTATACAAGCCAGCAGGTGGATCAAAGCCACAGGTTTTCATTGTGCGTCATTACAACGTTCAAGCCTCTGGCGTCCTAACAACAAATTACACCCTTAGCTGATAAGGAGGACGTTGGGTGCCTGCACAGCATCCTTGCTTGCCCCTCCCCTTCCCCTCTCCATCAGCACTGGGGGTCACATTAGCTGAGAGAAGAAGAGAAACTGAGGGAGAAACACTGGAATACTAGTCAGTACCAGTTTGCAAAAAAATATTTGCTTTGGAAGAATAAATCACCTCTAACGTTAGGTGTCCTATACTTGCGGATGTTGCTGCTTTATGTAAAACCATTAGAATTTTTCATTTTAGAATGGGGTGAATCGAGATTGTGCAGAATGGTAAAGGGTGCCTTGACTGAAAAACGGTTGAGAAACACTGTTTTAGACCATAAGTATGAACAATGGTCTCTCAGGTGAGTAAACCCATCCAGGATGACAAAAAGGGGAATTTGTCTTCTAGAAGGAAGCTGTGACTGAAAGACAGACTTGCAAAGCTTAAACCACACTCCAACAATGGAGGGTGATATATTTTGGTGAACTGGAGACAGACAGAGGGCCAGAAGAGCATTCTCCTGTTTAGGTGGAAAGCTTATACTACTTTGGGAAGGAAGTCCTGGGCCTCAATACCACCTTGTCCTTCAGTCTAAAGTTATCAGCTCAGATACTCAGCTGATTGAGGTGATGGCAACAAGAAATACACATTTTTGCGTCAAAGTGTGGATCGGTTTGACCAAATAAAAACTGGAGTTGCCTCACAAAGACAGATAGTTGTGTTGGAAGTCTTGAGTGAAATTGGGCAAAAGGAATTACCATGATAAGCAGAGGGTTGGATGACTTCTGCATTGAAGAACATGTACTTGAGACCTGGGAGTCTGAAGTTAGTTCCTGGGGAAGAGAACACTCTGGGGTGGAAAGTGTCCAGGACCAACCCCAGATACTCCTAAAAGTCAGAGCCAGTGAACATTTCTGTAGGTTCAGGATCCACCCGAACCTTTGCAACAGTTCTCGCAATAGGAGGTTGTCCAAATTTCCCATAATGGGATAACCTTGAACGTGCAACAGGGCTAACATTGGAGCAAAAACAAAAGAAATGTGTAAAAATTACACAGAACATCCAGAGCTTTTTCAAATGCATCTAGAAAAGAGGGTTGAGACCCTTGAAACACATTATACTTGCCCCCCCCCCCCCCCCCCCCCGACATCACCTAAGGATTCTGGCATCCTCACTGTGCGGCTGGAGATGCCGACAGCTCTTTTTATTTACACCATCTGCTGGTCCAATGGAGCCCCTGCTTCTGCATGTTTGCTGCCCATTTATTGCCTTTGTGTACTTTCAGCAGATCGGATCTGGTGTTGCAACCTGCTGTTTCATTATCCGCTGTTGGATTTGTGAATTCTGATATATAAGTGTGCTGCTATTAATAAAGGTGTTTTTTCACTTGTTATTAACCTTAGCGCCCTGCTTTTTGCTATTTGGAGCAATCACCTTTTTCAACACCCAAAGCGCAGAAGAGAGGCTTAAAGGAAGGGCCATGAACTGGTAGTGCAGAGGTCATACAGTAAACTGCAGAAACTACTGGTGATCTGGAAAAATGGGCAAAGTAAGCATCTCATATCTACACAATCCAGGAAGTCCCACTGGTGAAAGAAAGCAATACCAGAATGGTGGATCCCATCCAGAATTTTTTAGAGAGTGAAGAGGTTGGAGTATTACTCCTGAAACCTTACTGCAAGCAGGGATTGAGGCTATGGTCCCTTGGTTCAAAAGTCCAGAGAGCATCCGATGAAGACTGGCAAGCCACATAGGAGACACACAAAGGTTTGATATTAGAAACTGAGGATGAGGCAGGGAAGGAACCTGAGTTTGTAGCCTTGAGACACTACTTCTCACATGCAAGCATCAGGAAGGCAGGACATCGAAGCAGCTGCAAAATTCAACACACATCCGGCACACTCTGGAAAGTGTGTCTGCACCTTCATGCCAAAGAGGGCTTGTAGACAGATTTGGCAGTCTTGCTAGACGTTATGGCTACATCTTGTGGCTGGATGGGGTACCATATTTGGTGAGAGGGGGGTGTCAGAATGTTGAAGCTAAGGGTGAGCTGATACAAAAGAAATGCTTCTTAGAATGTACACAGAAAACTTTGAAGTCTGCTCCTTAGGCCTCTTGGGAAAGATGAGTGCTTTTGCCCCCAGTAGCATCCTTGATAATAGCATTAAGAGCTGGTCTGATGAGATGTTGTCCTGTGAAGGCCACGTGGATCATCTTCTTCTTGCAAGAGAATTCCACAGTGCATCATTTTAGTCAAAGAGTCCTGTGCATATGTACTATCAGGAGACTTATGCAGGAAATAAGCCTGAAAACTTTAGTGTGTCGGATACCTGTACCATGCATTTATTGAACTGAAGGACAATGGCAGTAACAGTAGATATCTTTTCAGGGACTTTTTCCAATCAGACATGGTCTGGAAAAGCATAGTTACAGCCAAATGCGGGTGTAAGGCAGGAATTGCCAAATAGAAAATTGTTCTAGATAGGGTCTCCAGCTGCTTATTGGTAGGGGCACTAACGGCAGAAGTAACCTCCACATATATAGTAGTAGCCTTTTAAGCCAAGAAACAGCAAAAGCCACAGTTAGAACAGACCCATTTTGAACAAAGAGTCAGCAAGTGCTTAGGAGGAGCCTAGCAGAATGTTTCCAATTTTAAAACAGAAAAAAACTGGAAAGGGAAAGTCTAGGTAGCCTTAGGAAGGCCTATAAGGCCAGAAAAAACACTGGTAGAAGAGGCAGGCTGAGTCTCTAGCTTAAGAGTGGCATGACATCAGTAAAAGCCAAATGGGAGAAATAGCAAAGCACTGTGAAGCTTGGCAGTCAAAGACTTGGGCAACTCAGAATCAGACAAAATCTGCATGGCCAAAGGCTCAGAAGCTTATAAGGCTGCAAGCAAATTAAATATTAAATTTGATGTAGAGGGTGTGTGGTAATGTGCCTGCAGCCTACTGTCAGGGAGTCCTCTGCGAGCAGCCCATGAACTGTTAATGCTGAGGGCACCCAGGACAACAGAACTGTCACCTCTGTTTCTAGAAACAGATGTGTTTTAGTCACAGGACAGTAAGCAATGTACAGGCCTAACGTCAAATGCAAGGCCTAGTGTCCGCATGAAAGCTGGACAGCTGTTACCAGCTGACGAGAGGGTTAGGTTGTAGGCAGACACCAGGAACAGAAGGAATGACGCCAGCAATGCCGGTGGGAAATGAGGGACAACGGCAATCAGCGATCATTAAAAATGAGGGAAATTACAATTTTTAACCTGAATAGCTGCCTCACTAAGTAAGCCTTCAGAAAGGGAAAGCACAGAGGAAATGCCAGCTGTCCTGGACCTAGAAAGAGCTCTGTAGCTTAATCAGAACCAGTCTGAGGGTCAAGGGTCACGTTCATGCTCATACTGCAACATCTAGTTTTTGTAGGGTCCAGATGCAATACGGTCCAAAATCCAGCCTGGATAGCTGCAAGTCATGGGGAACATGTATGGCGATGTAGTGAAGAGATTTGACAGAAGAAGAAAAAAAGTTGTTAGAAAAATCGTAGGTTATGCTTTAAAACAACAGAGCTGAAAAAAGTTGCTCAAGCTCTCAGGCCCAAGAAAAACAGAGGCACTCTGGAAGTGAGAAGGGCTATACTGTGGGCGGGCCTACAGTTTTTTGTTTGCCAATGTCCAATCCTATTCTATGCAGTAACCTGAAGGTTTAAAGCGGTATTAACCCCAAAACCCAAAATGTAATGTATTGCAGCTTACCAATCATTCGATATGGTGGCTAAATTAGTCTTATTGAGACTTTTTTCCCCTAGTGATCTGGCCAGTAGCATACCTCCTGCTTTACAGTGGCCCCATTCTGGATGAATGAGCACAGGGGAACAATTGGACAGCAGGGCTGTCAGTCTGGGGGGGGGGGTATTAACGTTACTAGCAGATTTAAATACACTAACAAATTAAAACCAAACTCCAGCTCACACTTTATAAGCAGTCATGGTAACTTTTTTTTTCTTTTTTGGGATAAATAAATAAAAGATGACAATTTAAGCACCTCTGTCAATGGTAAAAAGGTTTGTCTCATCCATGTAACTGATACAGATCTGTAAGAGAGCTTTTTCTTTTGAAAAACAAAAGACTTACTGGTTGGTTCATCAGGTGAAAATAAAGGAAAGAAAGCCTAAAAATACAGCCATCACATTTAAAAAAAGCTGCAATATAATAAATCTTTGGTTTTTTTTTTGTTTAATAATGCTTTAAGATATTCTTTTTCTCTCAATAGGTAAGAATGAAATAGCCATTCCAAATTCTTTTAATTTTAGATATTTACAATTTTTTCTTCTTTCAAGGCAAATTCTGGGTACTGAAAGCCAGTCAGTTACACTCGGAGGATAACAGAGTATGAGCCATTCAAGTCATCTGCAGTAGTCTGACCCACCTTATTTCAACTTTCTTAAACAAAATCCCTTTTAATAGTCACATATTCATAATGATACCAACCTGAGAAGGAACATTTTTTGGTGGCTCAATTCTGATGGATGGGTCCCATTCTCCAGGTGGAAGTACTGTCACTTGATCCAGGAACTCATCAATTCCAGCTAGCAAGTCTGCCCGGTCTTTTGCTTTGTAAGCAACATCATGAAAAATCTATAAACAGATTGCATTATAGTAAAGAAAAGAAAACACATAGAGAATACAGTGAAGTGGGATTGTGAATAAGAAAATAAAGTTCAATTACACCTATTTATCTGTAACAAATTCACAGGAATCTGTGTTTTTTTTCAAGCAAAACTGTCTCATAAAATGGGTGTGAGTTATCTCTCAATCAGGATTTAAAATCTCCACACATTTTTACTGTTTTGTTGATTGTGCTAAATATCTGGTGGCTTTGTGCTGCTGCCTGCCAAAGTGAGGAGTACGAGATCAATTCTGTCATATACATAAAGTTTTAATACATATGGCAACTGAGCATTTCTTGAGATCATAACTGGAGACTTCCAGGGATTAGACAAAAAAATGGAAGCACTACATGATTTGCAGGCGTGTAAGTGACGACATGTTTTGTGTTGAAAGCGCATGTGATGCAGCATTCTTTTTCTTCTGCTGTGTGATGAGACACCAAACTAACAGGTGGGAAGCCTCACTTTTGTCATTCACTATGTGCGCTGCTAGTAATACGGAGTCATGTCAGAGCTTACTGAGCTTCAAAGACGGCAAATCGTTGGTGCCTGCTTAGCTGCAGAGCTTAGCTGCAGTGACTGCAGAGCTTAGTTTCAGTATTCACTGGCTTTCAACGCGAAACACGTCGTCCCTTTCACACCTGCAAATCATGTAGTGTTTCCATTTTTTTGGCCTAACCCCTGTATATGAAGAGTATACAAATTGCAAATTATGCCTTTCACTATTTGCCATACCATTGAAACTGGTAGCTTTTATGTAATTTCTCATTTTGTCAACAGGAACAGTAAAAAAAAAAAACACATTTACCTCATCCGTCATTATAGTAGCCATGGATCTGCCAATCTCGTGGTATTGTTGTGCTTTTCCTACTGGTCCCAACAAGATAAATAAGAACCTGAAACATAAGCATATACATCAGGTGAACTACCCAATTAACGCGCTATAACTATATACAGAGTTTAAAAGAGTAGAACATTTTCACTTAGCAAAGTGAATGTTCAACTAGCTTAGTGAATAAAGTAGAGCTGTGTTTACTAAATCATGTACAAGCAAACATTTTTTTTAATTTCCTTGAACGTGGTTGGTAGGTAAACTCATCGTAATCACTAAGCATAAGCAAGCCATAGATGGATCAGCCAGTTCACCAAGGACCGGATAAATTGTGATCCATGCATGGGCAGGCTGGTTGTACACAAGTCAATTTATCGATTGACTTGTGTAGAACCAGCCTGCTGGAATTCTTTTTCTTGATCAGCACCACCGGCTATACTGATCAGTCTATTCTGAAGGAGGAGAAATCTTCCCTATGTCAGAAAAAAAAAAAACACAGCAGGAGGGATTCCTCCATCCACACTGAATTTGTACATGGGGGAATCGAGTCATTTTCTTTCATTCAACCTGCTGGTTAAACAAAAAAAATGACTCGTGTATAGCCAGCCTTACTGAATATGTACTTTGCAAAGTAAACATTCTCTACTTCTTAATATATATACCCCAATGAATTGTATTGTGTGATTGATTTACCTAAGGAGTAAAGGCTGTTTACAACATAGATTAACCAATATGAATGTTCACTTTGCAAAGGAATATTATTAAAAAAAGTGAACATGCAATCACTTTAAATAGCCAGTAATTTGCTAGTAAAAATGCTGTTTTTTTCCCTTGACATGGTTGGATAATAAAGTGAATTCAGGTTCCCTACCCTTCGCTTAGTGAACCGCCTTTATTTTTTAGCAAATCAACCACAATCAATACTCAAACATGGCTATGATGCATGTTTAACATGCCTGGTATTATATATTTTTAAAATATAGGTGTTATAAAGACACTGTTAAAACTATTTTTGCATTCTGCTAACAACTACAAAAGGGATAAGCATTATGCATTATATATATATATATATATATATATAAATAGGTCCACCTCCATGCTGGAAGGTAGTTAAATTTTTCTTTTCTATAAATGTTTATTGGTTTTCTCAATATTTCAGGTACAAAGTACAAATTGCAGTAGTTTTAGAAAAGCGCCACACCCTAAATCTCAAAAGCAGCAAATTCCCACTTCAAAAAATCATAAATGAATTTTTTGCTCAAACAAATAAATATAAGGAATACGCTAAATAAATAAATAATACAAAATAAATGTGAAAAATAAAAAAATTATAAAAAATGTTCATAAATCAATAAATATTCAAAAGTCTTCAAATAATGTCCACACTGTGTTGAATCCACCACCAGAGAAAATTGGAACATTCACCAGAGCTCAATGCTGAATAAATCATTGGACTAACCACAAGCACTTTTTGCTCTGGGACCGTATATAGCAATCCAGTTCCTAAATGCAAAGCTGTGCAATTAAACGACCTTTCCTCAGGTGAGTAACCACCATTCAAAGATATAAGTAATTTCCAGGGATAGAACTCATCTTTCTTTCATATGTCTCCATACCATTGGGACCATGTTTAAAGGTAAGAGAAAAAGATCATTGTGCAGCGAGTTTTACAAAAGTACCAAATTTTAATGAATGAAATAAAACTCACAAGTAAGGTGTCTATACCGACACCAGTGTTATAAGCATAGATTTAGGCAGCGGCATATGACCGTGACTCCGTTCACCATGGATCCTCTCCTTTCACATCCAAAGACTATCTCAGACGTCGGCATCCAGTAGGCCATGCCTACTGGATGCCGACGTCTGAGATAGTCTTTGGATGTGAAAGGAGAGGATCCATGGTGAACGGAGTCACGGTCATATGCCGTTGCCTAAATACAGGGGGCCCCATTATCTCTTACTGCCCGGGGGCTCCATGAATTGTTAGTCCGCTCCTGTCCCCAGATCATTGTCAGAGATCAGCGCAGAAGGAAGATATTGGGCTTTCCTAAACATGGCTCCCGGCATGGCCAGCAGGTGAGTGCTGGAATCTCACTGGAATCTCACTCTCTCTCTCCCCTCCCCCACCCCTCGAAATGGGGGGGGGGCGCGTGATTTTACTCTTGCCTAGGGTGACACATAACCAAAATACACCACTCACTGCTTGTATCATGTCTGCAGTCTCTGCCCATCTCATGTAATGTGTCCACAGTCTCTGCCCATCTCTTGTATCATGCGTATAGTCTGCCTACATCTTGCTGTGAGGCTACTGTATCTGACACTAAATATTCACTGAATTTTATGTGCACCCCTTTGATGATGTTGCACTTGAGGCACTGACCACCACTGCACTAAAGAGTACACTCATTTTCAATTTATATGTTGCAGCCCCAGTTTACAATGTGCATAAGGCTACTTTTACGTTTTTATACGTTTTTGCTGCATTTTTACCGTCTTTGTGGTGCGTTTTTTACAGGACATGTGACTGAAAAACCATACCAAAAATGCAACGTGGGTGTGTTTTTGATGCGCTTTCCATTGATTACAATAGGGAGGTGAGTTTTTGGTGCATTTTTTTTAAGCATCAAACCTAAACCAAAATTACAGCAAGCAGGATTTTCAAAAATGCAACACACTTGCAACGGATCAGTGTGAAGAGTTCCATAGAAATACATGGTCACACATTTTTCTTCTGTTTTTCATTCTGCTTTTGCGTTACAAAAAGCGGATCAGTGTGAAAGCAGCCTTAAGGCTGCATTTATGCCTTATATTTCAACATTAAGGAATGTGAATGTTAAAATTCTACTTGAAAATAAAACTATCAAGCAGCACAATTGCTCAGTAAAGCAAGACATCTGGATATGATAAAGACAAACCTCCAACAGACACGTACATGCCAAATAGCAAACAAATGTCACATAGGCCAAAAACATTTGCGAAAATCCAATTTTTACTTTATCTGGCATACATTTGGATGCTGAAAGGTACACTTCTTACCAAATCACATTTACTTGAGGAGAATAATTTAGTACGTATGTAGAATGGGAAACGCAGAGGTGTTACCCATGCAACTGAATCCTAAAAGAAGACTGGAAGGTAACAGAATGTTTTATTGACAATATCTTGTTTTTCCCATTTTATAGAAGGTGCATATACTTACCTTTAAAAAAAATGACAGTAATGCAAACAATGTAACTGTAAAACTGTAATGCTAAGCAGTTGCATTATATAGACTGAGACTATCTGCCAGGCTGTTACGCAGCTCAGAACCAAGGAAACCAGAGAGGAATTGCAGAATCTTTGGTGACAAGCATCAAGTCACAAACTACCTGTAATGGTCAATAGTGATTATATTGTAAAAATGTAATCTACGTTTAAATGTATCTTGTGAATATTAATAATGTTCTTTGTAAAGACATACACTAGGCTGAGAACAATACGCAATACATTACCTATTAATACAATGATAGGTCCATCTCACCTAGTTGGTATTGGGACCTCTGTCAGTCCAGTGAGAAGAACTGCTGGAGACAGGCGAACAAATGCTACAATGGGTCGTTCTAGAAAATCCAATTCTCCAACAAGGACATTAGAGGCTTCTGCTCCGATGGGAATTTTTTTCATGAAGTGAAGATCCACCTTAAAAGATAATGACAATCCACAATTTTGTGACGTTCAACTCCACAATCCAATATTCTCTTCCTTACCCTAATCTCTATTTCCTTGTGTTTCTCCTCCATCAGGATGGAGGTACTTCTGATATTAATGAAATCTACAAAATCTAAGGGAGCTAATACCAACCTTGCTGAGATCAACAGCACTGCTGTTGTCGTGGCTTCCTCCATTTTTTACTTCTAATGTAGAGGGAGTAGGCTGCGGAGACACCGATAGACCTGTAAGAAAATCATTAGCTTCACTTGATATAATGGTGTTGTTATTGTAAAAGTACAGGATTTTAGTATGTACATGTGCATTTGTAATGTCTTGTAAAGTAGGGACAATGTGAAGGAAGCAGCTAGAGAAACCGCAAAAAAACAAGGATTGTTCTCATTTTGTACTGGGACACACACTGGAGGGTGATTATCAACACTGAAGCAGACAGAATCTGTAAGCAGTTGCGCATTGCCACTAACCAGTTTATGTGTGCGATTCTAATGCAGTGCGGGAAACACACAGAATTTGTTGCGAATCCTGCACTGCATTGGTGTGAACCAGGCCTAAAAAACAATATATGTATTACATTGTTATCTTAAGTAAGTTATCACCAAATAAACAGGCCCAAAGCAGAAAAATTACTCCAGTCCACGGGGGGTTAAAACAGGGTTGTAATTTGTAAAAAGGTAAACACTTTGGCATTTTAAAGATTCAAAAAACGATTAAATCAAACTACATATACCACCAGTCATTTTGTAAGGCAGATACTAAAGATGTTGAAAGAGGTAATTCTCTAGAAAAGAAGGACAAACAACGATACATCATCATACTGGTACTGTAGTGAGAACTATAATTTAATAATATAAATTATACTTACAAAAACTAAGAAAAAAAACCCAAAAACTAAAAAGGACCACTTCGGCCTAAAACAGGAAACTGCATAATCCTGACTTCTGTACAATAATATCAGGATGATTACGTGGCAGCAAAAAAAGCCATGAAGATGTGAGAAGCTTACAAATGCACAGAACTCAACAAGATTTCAGCTTACATAAGCTTGAGGTGATTGTAGCCGTATTAGTGCATTTGCGACAGGAACAATTGAGTACTGTCCATCATACTTTTTTTATTTGCACTAACATACAATTTTGAGGACAAGCCTTTGGGGAATGTCCCCTTCTTCAGGTCTAAGCAGTACTGAAACAAAGATTTAGCAGAATGTTAGAAGAGATGTAGGGGATGGTAAAAAAAAAAAAAACAGGGATTAGACACAGCAAAAGCAAAGTCGGGGGGGGGGGGGGGGGGGTCTTTGCTTTTGCTGTGTCTTATCTCTGTTTTTTTCCCATCCCCTACATCTCTTTTAACATTCTGCTAAATATTTGTTTCAGTACTGCTTAGACCTGAAGAAGGGGACATTCCCCAAAAGCTTGTCCTCAAAATTGTATGTTAGTGCAAATAAAAAAATATCACGGACAGTACTCAATTGTTCCAGCTTACATAAGCCAAATCTGTGAAAAATGAATTCTTACTGCTTGCTATGGGTGACTTAGAAAACAGTCCTGTGTTTTCGTGTGTCAGTTATTGAGGTTGTAGAACTTTCAAATTCCAGCTGTCATCTTTTAGCTCAGATAAAAAATTGACTGGTAGCTTTGTGAAAGTATAACAAGATAGGTTAGAGTGAGGTGAGCTGAAAGCAACCAAAAAAACACTTCAATAAACTAGTTTGAAGCACCACAGAGTCTTCTTAAACCACAATGTATCTACAAGCCTCACTTCCCAAACATTAAAAACAATGTACTTACCTCTCTATTAATATAATGGTCAGAGCAATGCAAACCATTGCTTTATGTCCCCAGTCCAGCTGTATACCCAGAACCCCTAGTCTATAGCACAGATACAGTCTAATTTTAGCAAAAAAGTATAACCTACCACATTATGGTAAGGTGGACTAAAGGAAACTAAAATGTATTTGTGCTTTAAACCAATGTGTCGGGATGTACAGTTGGCATAGGGACACTAAGGTATAATTGACATGGTGCTGCCCATCATCCTAAAGTAAGGTATAATCCCCTTAATTGGGAATTTCTTGCGGTGGTATCTGGGGACCTACCATCCTTTTGGATGATTAAATGTGACAGATCCCATTACACGGGCCAGTTATGATTATGAAAGTATGCTAATTTATCATAGTTAGCTTTTATCAAATCGAATCCATAAGTATATTTAAACTGGATGTTTAGTCAAAATCTACCTGTGCCGCTATTCTAAGTCAATTCTATCTAACCCTGTAAAGAGAAGAACTTCCCTACCCTGAAGCTGTTCCAGTCCAGTAACATGGTCTCTTTAGCAGCAGCTTATATATAGAGAAAAGATTGCCAACAACGGTTGCAAATGCCTGGGAGATGGTGTCACCCATAGGCTTACTGTGGGGCATCCATTGTCAGCTGTCCCTCCTGCACACTGCAGCTGCCGCTGACAGCTGATCATGGGACCGGACCAGAACGGCTTCGGAATAGGTAAGTATATAGATCTTTTCTTTACGGGGTGAATAGAATAGTCTTAGAATTAGGGTGGTAGTATGTTTAGCCTTAGTTAGATTTTGACAAAGCCTTCACTTTAAATGCGTGATCTGTGCCACCTGATAGTTATCTGGATACAGTTATAGAAAACGTCCAATGAGAATTTATAGGACTGAGAAAATCTGTTATTTACATTTTAAACTAACAGACATAATTTTATTTGTCAATGATAAATGCTCCAAGACATAAGAAGAAAAGATGGATGTTTTATTTGGCAGCGTAAATGAAAATGAAACAATATGGATAATAATGGTCCCCCTTCATCTGAGGTCTACTGACACTTTTCACATCTAGGATGTTTAAAAGCAAACTTACTATTTTTGTCTAGTAAATGAGGCTCTGACTGCTTCTTTCCAACCTCTGCAAAGGAGCGCACCATAGGAATAAGATTGTTGCGTTTCTTCTCTATTTGATGGTGATGTTTCTTCAACAGTGCTTCCTTCACCTTGACTCGCATATTATCTCCTAACTCACCTGCAGAATCCTGATGGTCCAAGATCAAGTCTACAAATTAAACAACCAAAAAACATCTTTCTCTGTTTGCATACAGCAATGGAATTAGTCATCATCACAGTATACTACAATACTGATTTTGTTACTATGCTAGTACTAACTGTGATTTCTTTTTTTCAGCAATGACCTTCAACAGAGGTTTCCTGTTATTCCCTCTTTGTATTTGCATTTTGCCCTATTAAAGCAGTACTTACAGTATATGTGTGAACGGAATTATTTGCCATAGAATTTGTCATTTTGTTCAGCCAGCCTTATTAAACTGGCACCCCAAGAAAACAGCAAAGACAGGCTGTGGACCTTCCTGCAGACTATACTGAAATTAGGCAATATGGCAGACTGACATAGATGAGGCCATTCTCATGCTCTCCCCAGCTGTAAGCATGTTCAAATGATTAGGTGTCAATGTACTAAGTATCCGTTGTTTTAACTGCATGCTTTATTTTGTCATTTGGTAGTTTTCTCATCAGTTCAGGAAAATAAATACCGCATTCAGTAGGTGTGCAACTGATGTTAATTGTCATAAAATGCTTGTTTAATGTACGTTTAAAACCCAACAATGAACATCTCTCAGAAGCTAGCAAAAACCTGTGTAATTATTTTAGCAAATTGGTTTTGATATATACCATAATTGAGAACAAAATAAAAAAATAATTAAATGTAAACTGTTGTAAACTGAGCTGATGCATGTGCATAAGCCTTTAGGGCTTAATCACACCAAGCCCTAGTAAATTTAAAACATAAAGGGTAATAGTGGGGAATCAAGATCTGTAACTGCTTCTGTATATACAGATTGGCGCTACCACTAGACGAACTAGGCAACCGCCTAGGGCGCACTGCCACCTAGGGTGCAGCCACGGCCGCTGGTTTCTCTACTCTCTGCCATGGCCGGATCTAGGGGGGGGGGGGCTGGGGTGGACTAAACCCCTCAGATTTTAGTTGTACCCCCCCCCCCCCCCAGGCTGGTCTTCCCATGGAAATTGTGCCTAGCCGCTGAGTGCCTTCCCCCATCCCCGCACTCACGGCTGGGACAAGGGGAGAGCAGCCTGGAGCAGTGAAGCCTAAAAAGGAGAAATAATATGAGAGTAGGAGGTGCAGACTGTGCTCTCCATTGTCAGTGGTTCAATCCTCCATAAAGCAGATGACAAAGGATCGCTCTTAGATCGACATGCTCCCTGCTGCCAAGAGATGAGCGGTCATTGGAGGAGGTAAGGGGTGGGGTAATCAAACTGTGCACAGCGCGATCCAAGTGTCATCCGCACCTCTACCTGATTTCCCATTTTTAAGTTCAGGAGGGGAGCCTGAAGGCCAGGGAAACTGCACAAAATGAAAGGGGGGGGAAGAGTAACAATAATTTGTGGGGGGATAGAGTCCATTTGTGCTGGAAAGGGTAATGGGAATGATGGGGGAGGGGGGTTTGTGCTAGGGGAGGGAATGGGGGGATATGTGCTAGGAGTAGGAGAGAGGTTTGGGGGGGATTTTTGCTAAAAGGGGTGGAAGATTTGGGTAAGAAGGGATGATTTTTCCTAGGAAGGGTAATTTGGAGGGGTTTTAGCTACAGGAGGGATTTGGGGGAATTTTTTCTAGGTGTGGGGATCGAAGAAAGAGGATTGGTGCTGGGAGGGGGGGATTGGGGCAATTTGTGATGGGAGGGGGAATTCGGAGGGAATTTATGCTAGAAGAGAGGATTGTGGAATTTTTGTTAGGAGAGGGGATTGGAGGGAGGGGGGTATTTGTGTTAGAAGGGGGGATTAGGGGGGAAATTGTGCTAGAAGGGATCGTTTTGACATGCATTTATTACTGAAGGTAACTGCCTATGTATTTTATCATCATATGTTCAGTTTAAATTGTCCATGTTTGTGATAGGTCTAATTTAAACGAAAAATTATCATTATATCCTAACTACTGAAAACAAATTAGTTTTTTTTTCAGTGCTTCTATATTGTATGTGTACATTGCCTGTTATTACCGTGTTTACTGCTTGGTGATCAATAATAGAAAAGTGGAATATCTTCAGATCAATAGTTGGTGGGGCTGACCTACTAAAGGAGTAGATGCTGTTCACCAAGCAAAGTGTATGACAGTAAATATGGTGAACCTATGTTCACTTTACCTGCTTGCCTACCAGGGCATTTTGAAATTTTTCACATACTGTACATGTTGAAATCAGCATTTTGTTTTTTTGCTAGAAAATGACTTAGAACCTTCAAACATTATATATTTTCTGAAAGAAGAGGCCCTGCACAATAAAATGTTGGTTATTGAAATTTTACATGTCGCAATATTTGCGCAGCCATTTATCAAATGCAAATTTTCAGGGAAAAAATACACTTAAATAAAATTAAGTGCAAACAAACCAAACATAATATCCATTTTTTTTGTCAAAATTAAAGCTGATGTTGCATTGAATAAATAGATACCAAAATATAAAAAATTGTGTATGTCTGTGAAATGGTGACATACTACATTATCTAAAATTATCCATAGGGAACACTTTAAAAGCCTCTACAGATTACTAGTTTAGAGGTAAACGCATGGTGCATCACCATTTAAATATACATGTGGGACCTACATATGTGTTTGCATTTGTAAGTGAGCCAGGGTAATTTAAATGTGATTGTTTTTTATTTAAATGTATTAATTTTTATACTTTTTAATTTTTTTTTAATTCAACTTTATTGCTATCACAAGGAATGAATAAACACAACTGATGATAACCTGGGCATTTACAGGTACTCTTTATTGAAAGATTAGGGGTCTGTAAGATCCCTGATCCCTACTCTACTCTCCAAGGCAGCCAATCAAACAGAGATTTGTTTGATTGGCTTCTTCCTTTGCCAGTCCAACCAGGAAAACACCAAACTGAAACTGGAGGTGACAAAATTCTCATTGCTTCCGGCTTCATTCATCAGAGAGGAGAGTGAAGAACAGGATGTTCTTCATTTTGTTCTGTGGACAGCCGACCTGACCACTTGCAGCAGACCCAGGCTTCACGGGAATGGGAAAGCCTGGGAACATTGTCGGCCAGTGGTGGAAGCCACCTTCTGAGCCCTGTAAAATTGATCAGGCAGCTATTGACGCCACTTGGATCACTTTTACCTGAAAGCCAATCTTCGGCTCTAAAAATTAAAATCAGAATCATAGCTGGAGCTGCCGTCACATACAGTTAGGTCCATATATATTTGGACACAGGCACAATTTTAGTTTTTTTTCAGGTATTTACCAAAACATATTCAATCTATAGTTCTATAATGGATATGGGCTGAAAGTGCACACTCTCAGGTTACATTTGAGGGTATGTACATCCAAAATTATTCAACCCCCACTGAAATTGAGTGTTTTGGCCAGTTTAGCTTTTGATCATTCACATCTTGCTCATTTACATTAAAGAGGCACTTGTAGGTCAGACAAATATAACATAACAGTTTAATGAAATAACCACAAATGGGTGCTCACAGCATTATCAGTTTTATTCAACCCCCAAGTGACATTCAATCTTAGTACTTAGTAAGCATCCTTTTACATTAAACAAAATGTTAATTTTAATCTACGGGTATTTTCTTCATGGGCAGAAGTCACATTTTAGGCTTGCACTGCAACTGGTTCCCACCAGAGGTCTCAATCCTGGGGGATCCACTCCAACGACCATTTCCCAGGGGTCGCCTAAGACCATCAGGAAAACACATATTTCCGATGGTCTTAGGAACCGAGACACAGAAGCTGCAGTCTCCGGCGATGTGTGGGCGGGATGATACGCTGCTGTCACCCGGCCACACCTCCAAGATCGCTCAGCAGCTCCGCCTCCTCGCCGCTGATTGGCCACCGGAACTGTAGCTCAGGAGAGGCACACAGGCGGCCAATCACCGGCGAGGAGGTGGAGCTTGGAGAGGAGGAGCCAAGCGGCAGCGCGCGGCCATCAAAGAAGACCGAGGGAGCGAGTGAAGAGGAGAGCGGCCAGAGAAGGAAGACAGCTGACAGGTAAGTGAGAGAGCGAGCCCAGGCTGGAGCAGGGGTCAGCAAGGTAAGTATCATTGGTGTCAGTGGGAGGAGGATAGTGCCCCATCATTTGTGTCACTAATACCAACGATGGGGCACTATTCCTCCCCCCACTGACACCAACGATGGGGCACTACTCCTTCCCCCCACTGACACCAACGATGGGGCACTATTCCTCCCCCCACTGACACCAACGATGGGGCACTATTCCTCCCCCCACTGACACCAACGATGGGGCACTATTCCTCCCCCCACTGACACCAACGATGGGGCACTATTCCTCCCCCCACTGACACCAACGATGGGGCACTATTCCTCCCCCCACTGACACCAACGATGTGGCACTATTCCTCCCCCCACTGACACCAACGATGTGGCAGAGCTATTCCTCCCCCCCACTGACACCAGTGATGGGGCACTACTCCCCCCCCCCACTGACACCAACGATGGGGCACTACTCCCCCCACTGACACCAACGATGGGGCACTACTCCCCCCCCACTGACACCAACGATGGGGCACTATTCCTCCCCCCACTGACACCAACGATGGGGCACTATTCCTCCCCCCACTGACACCAACGATGGGGCACTATTCCTCCCCCCACTGACACCAACGATGGGGCACTATTCCTCCCCCCACTGACACCAACGATGGGGCACTATTCCTCCCCCCACTGACACCAACGATGGGGCAGTATTCCTCCCCCCACTGACACCAACGATGGGGCACTATTCCTCCCCCCACTGACACCAACGATGGGGCACTATTCTTCCCCCCCCCCACTGACACCAACGATGGGGCACTATTCCTCCCCCCCACCCTCCCCCCACTGACCCCAATGATGGGGCACTATTCTCCCCCCACCACACTGACACAACGATGGGGCACTATTCCTCCCCCCACTGACACCAATGATGGGGCACTATTCCTCCCCCACTGACACCAACGATGGGGCACTATTTTCCCCCCCCCCTGACACCAATGATGGGGCACTAT